ATGGGGTCATGTGTGGCCTGCAGGTATATTCACGCTCAGACATCAAAACACAGTTTTTGCCCCTTGATTTGGAGGACGGCGCATCATTGGCTTACAATGTCTGATCTCGTTCACCGCAGCATGGATTTGGAATGGAAATGCCCTCATAAACTTCAGACATGTCTGGTTTTGATGGTAGATCCACACTTTGGGATCATGGGAATCAAAAAGAAATGTAATTTTTGGTTCAATATTGATGCAAAGTTTCCTTCATTTTAGGCGAGTCCCAAAAGTGAGCAAAGATAGCAAGACTGACTTGTAAAGGTCAATGGGAAAGCTGCTGGAAGTTTGCAAACAGAAGGAAGATCTGACATTTCAAATGTGGAAGGAGAGAAAGTTCAAACATTATCACATAGTGCAGTCCTGCCTGTTTCCACATCCACTGCCACCCCTGTTCATTTAAAGTATTCTTTAAACGGTTCGCTGATCTATTACTTTTTATCTCCTAGTTTGTCTTGTTCACATTAGCAATAGCATGTTTCTTCCCTCTATTAAACTCATAGATAGTTTTCCTGCCCCCTTTATTTTAGAAGTGACTATATCTTTGTTAAGTGATGTGATGTGTATCTACTGTAAAGTAGATAAATATTACCTAGCCTCACTGAGACACACTGGATACAAATGCATCATTAACGTTGAGGACTTTTTCTTTTATCGCTATCAACATTTCCGTGTATCAGATGCAAAGGAGATTTTGAACTAAACCTTGCATGCAGCCACTACGAATCCCATTTGTAACATACACATCTTGATTTTACCTTTTTTGCTCTTCTTATCTTGACATTTTCCGTGGTTTAAATCCAACATAAAGTTTTTCCTATGCAGCCAAGGCCTCAACCAGAAAAGCAAACTCTGGAAGAGGAGGCCAGCCAACACCTACAGTGTGATTCAGCAAACATAATAAAGACAGTCGCTGCTGCGCTGAACCGGGATGTTGAGAGACAGAGCAGTGCATTAAAGAAGTGCTCTGGCTGTCAGTTAAACTGGAAAGAAACAAAGCCTGCTAAACATTTTGTGTCTGGTCATTTATTCATCACAATGTTGGTGTACTACTTTACCCACATGCTTCAGAAAGCTTGTGCAAACATCATCATAAGCCTAGATGCTTTTTAATCCCAAACTGTAAAACATGATATAGAAACTGGGAAAGTAATTCACGTCCAGTTGACTAAGTCTCAACATTGCTCACAAGCTAGATCTATTCTATTATTAAAGTGAAATAGAAAGAGTATGTGGCTCTCTGTTGGAGTAAAATTGTGTTCTAAAGTCCATTTTACACAAGTGCACTTCCTAATTTTAGAATGAAGCACCATAGCCGGTATGCTCTCTAATGACACTTTTACCAGCATCTAAGCATCATATTGGTTCATTCTCCTCTTCAGTTTCAGTTTTTGTTTTTCTTGTGGCTGTTGAGTATTCTGAAAACCTATCACACCCTATCCTTTGGCAGTTCCCAGAATTGAGACACAAGTTGGCATTAGACTAGTTCTGATCACTGCAGGACAGCAGGGTAAGAGGGGGAGAATGTTTCTGTCACTGTACACATCACAAACGCCATTAGCGGCAGAGCTCTGCCAGAGTGGATCTAACAGTCATCTGGTTGGAGATGTCAGCTTTGAAGGTTTATGGCCCTCAAGTTCAGCCTGTTGTTACTAGTCAGCAATACCTCCAAATATGTCTTGTAGTACATATGAATGGCTTCAAATAATAGTGTATATCCTGGTTTTAATGTGTTAACCTGTGGACGTGTAGATATGTCTGCCACTAAATATGTTACATAACTGCCATTGTGTATGAAAAGAAACATTCACTAAATGTGATAATGAAAAGCACTGTGACTCAGAGGCATGTTCTGCATGTATGATTTTGACTATAATTTGCTTTTTCAAGTAAAATCCCAACATGCATCTGTGTCTGTGTGCTGTTTCAGCACAAAAGATTTGCATACACTGATGTGAGCAATGGAGGGTAACACAGACAGAGCGTGACAGCAAAATTTAGAGAAGGAGCAAATGCTCGCTAGTAGACTTTGACATATACGGACTGATGGATGAGTAGAAAGGGAATAGGGAATTTTGGGCCCATGGCAGAATGTCTGAGTCTGTCTAACTGATTTGCGTGACATTGTGTGACAGAAAGATGGCTCAACACCTCCCCTACTGGAGGTCATGACAAAAATAACTGGCATATATACACATGTAGACACAACCACACAGCTCGAATTCTTCCCTTACCCCTTTTTATTTTAAAATGGTCCTTCATGCCTACCCTCATATCAGAAATTGGGGGATAGAGAGTGGAGTTACTCTGTTATTTGGATCAAGATCAGAAATATGTTATGTTACAATAACAAGCCCAAGTCGAGAAAAGACTGTTAGAATATACTGTTTTTTATTTCTTAATTTTTTTTTTTTTTACAAAATATATTTAAATAAGCAGGGTTTAGAACCAAACACCGATTAAATATTAAAGCTTAGAACTGACAGCCTGGTTTAGGCTAAATTCACATCAGTGTCCTCCAGTAAAGCAGCATGAGAGGATGCATAGTCATGACATCAACAAACCAGCCCCCCTGACTGCCTTTTGGCTCTTTGGACTCATGGAAGGTCTAAGATAAAAAGCTTTTCAGGGCAAGTAAAATAAGAGCAACGAGCAGAGTTGGTATTTTAAGTAAGATGAAGTTAAAAGTTATGACCATCATCTTTTATCCCCCTTACAAAGTTTGATATGCACCTTTAAAAAAGTCTCAGTCTCCCTCTGGATGAGGGTTTGGGTTTTCCTCCATGTTTTACTTAATAGCTTGCCTCTGGTAGATGTATTTTTCATGTTGAAACCAGGAACACAGTGTTAGGGCTGTATAGTTTAATGAGTGGAGATATTTATAATTCATGACACGTGTCTTGCATTTATTTTTAACTTCTTATCCATATTAATGTTTATTGTTCAGAACTTGCTCATGGGTGTGGAATTTCTCAGGGAGTAAACTGCATTCAGCTTAACAAATATTAATCATGTTATTTTTGCCCTTAACAACTGATAATGGACAAAGAAGCAGGGAAGTTCCAAGTTGGGACTTAAAGCTCTCAAACTGTCTTCTGTTCCATCCATGCTACGGTTTTTTCCCCCTGCGAATACTTCACTGTTATTTTTAGGCTTGGATAAAGCTCATGTGCTGTTCCCTAGGTGAGAGGCCCACCCCATTAGATCTCATCAAGCAGTCTTTTCATCCTTATGTCTCGGCCAGCTGTCTGCTCATCTGATTGTTCTTATTATGCACCTGACTTCTGGATTATGAACCAGATAAGCAGTTATGATGGTTAGTCTTTTGTTTGTGCCCCAGTCTTTTTGCGCTGCCTTTCTCTGAGGACAGCTGAAAAGATAATTATACTTTACAGATTAGCTGATGATGCTGTCAACAAGTCTTTAATTGTTTGGATCTTGTCATTATGAATCTGGAAAAGAGATAAATAAGTTTTTTTTATAAATGAATGAGCCTAGACAATGCATGTAGTTCCAGTGATTCACCATAGCCTGGTATGAAATAAGGAATGCAGTAGGAGTGTGAGACTAGAAAGAGGATGTTGCAAGGGAACTTGATGTAATGGCATGCCTCCAGTCTAACCTGTAATACTTGAATTCCTGACCCAGTGAATAGTTCATAATTACATGAATACTTCACTTCAAGTCATGATGGAAATCAAACATGTCAAATAAAGCTACGTCAATACACATACAAACATGCACACACACAAATACAATATACACGTGTGTTGTGTGTGTATATTTTTGTCAAGATACTGTACATAGCCATTCATCTTGACAAAAGTCAAATAAAAATTCCAGAGATGCAGATCTAACAGCATGGTTTTAAGATAATTTGTTAATTAGAACCATACAAAACCACAGCAAAGTTAACTGTCTGAAATGAAAAACATACAAAACCAACATTAATCTTAATTTTAGGGCAGCTTTCTGTTCAGAGCGGTACGCATGCGCCAACTTTAAGTGTGCTACTTTCAAGTACTCTATGTAGGCTTCAGATATCCGTCGTTCAAACCAAAATATGTATCAATTAAGTCCAACACAGTGACACTTCTGACTGTGGCCACATTCATTTATGCATGCAGATGCATAGTGCAAACTATGTATGCCACTATTTTCTGCTGTTGATGCAAAAATTAATATACATTTGATATGTTTAAAATGATCAGTGATACCTTTACGATAGAAACATAAACCCAAAGTAGCTCATATAGAACTTTTAAATGATATTCATGGCCTGAACACGTTCGCATTTGCAGAACAATGCTTCTGCATGGCTTCCCTCACATGATTAAGACACACAAAGTTCTAATAGGCGGTGGGAACGCGACTGATTTTCGAAGATGAAAAAGATCCGACAGCACCTGAACGCAGCAGGAGCAGCAACACTTTCCCAGCAGCGCGGCGGAGCCCAGACCGAGTCCGGAGCCAGTCCAGACCGGGAACCGTCCCCAGCACCAAGGCGACCGGGAATACTTCTGCCACCGGCGAACTCGGAGTGCTCGGAAACAGACGAAAGTTCGAGCAAAGCAAGAAACACAGTCCAAGTGAGTTTTTTTAGTTTGTTTGTTTGTTGTTGTGAGGATTAAATAAGTGGACGCGAGTCGTTAATGGAACCGTGGCTAATATGATATGCCATCGATAAAGGAGGATTAAACTGCTGGGATGTTAGGACAGGAGGGAGTACAATATTTCTGAAATAAGGACAGCCTTCATATCCGACAGGTATGGCTTGATCCCCCACTCCGGGGACGCGGTGGGACAGCTCTGGCAGAGTCACTCATGTTTGTGTGGAGGAGAAGGAAAGTTTGCAGCGCTTGACGCGGATACGGCTCTATACTTTGTGAGCGGCGCTTTTCCGTGAGTCCACTTCATCCCGGGGTTCGCCTGGCCCGGTATTCGGATCAAAACTGCTCGAGATGTCCAAACCCGTGCTTAAGAAAAACCACTGGACGACCAGGGTGAGCGAATGCACTGTTTGTAAAGATGCCCGCGGGGACCTGAACGTCTCACTGCGCGGCGGTGCGGAACACGGAGAGTTCGCCTACATTGGGCAAATTAAGGAGGACCTGGTGGCGTACGGCTATGGGAAATTAAATGAAGGGGAACTGCTGCTGGAAGTGGAGAACCTCTCGATTTCTGGATTACCCTTGTACGACATACAGACGGTGATAAAGAACTGCAAAGGTCCCGTGAGGTTGAAAACTGTCAAACAAGGTAAGTGCTGGAAGACGCAGCGACACACGCCAGACTTCCATACATTTTCCCCCCATTTTAGAGTTACTTTTATATTCTGAGACATTACAGAGCATGACATTTAGCGTCACGTATTTGTTTCGAAACGGACATTAATTCGGCTCTCACAAAAACGCGGAGGTACGCGGACGTTTGTCTGAGTGGACGCTTTTGAACATTTGGAAGTTTTGCGCGCCCCTTAAGTTGTGCCAGGTGAATATAAGTTTGTACTATTCAGATCGAGTAGGTTCTAAAATGATCAAATCGCTCCAACCGAAGAGCAGGGGCATATTTAAAAAAAAAAAAGTATCCCCTGTCTGTCCTCCAGGGGAAATTCCACCTGTCGGGCTCATAGCGCATAGGTGAAAAATCCGGCTGACACCAAATGTTTATTCAGCCGCTCCCTTTGTTCCTTTCTATCTAACCATGGAGATGACGGAAATAGTTAGAAAAGAGTTAAAAAGTTTAAAGCGCGTTTTCTAAAGACAGCCAGCACCTGCCTCTGGCTGATGGCTGCTCAGAGAGTCTGGCCGGGCATCTTTTCTGTGGAGTGAAACAGAGAGTTGCGCGCCTGACCACTGAGAGCGCTTCTGCTTGTTCTTGGTCAACTTGATTCAGCAGGGCACTGGAGCTGGACACTGAGCCAATCTGACAGACTCCCAGCGTGGCGAGGCACGCTGCTGAGAGGATGCTCAGAGCCTGCCTGGACTCCACTAACTTCCATCAGGATTAGGAGGAGGGGGGGTAAAAAGAGCAACAGCTCTTCAAGGGCAATTTCACATATTTATAACCTGCAACCGCTGGCAGCAGTGTACGTTACAAGCAGTCAAATGGCTCCAAGTAGAATCTAACATCATACTTTTATGATTTACAGGGAGTTATTATAGGAACTGGGGCTTGTTTTCCATAAAATGAGTCTCCGATTGCTATTGGTGAACGTCAGCACCTCTAATATCACTGCCCAGATGTGCCAGTAACAAGGTCCTGGTGAGTTCTGAGTTGCTCCCCCATTCTGACGGGTGGCAACCAGCCAGGAAAATCATTCTGGGAGCTTCATTTTGATCAGATACAAGCTATTTGTGCTCAGATTTGACATTTCTTGTGTTGGAGGTGGTGCAGCTATAGGACGAACTACAGATAAAGATGGACCTGTTTCCACCTCTTATTGAACTTGGCCACAACACGTGGGACCCCTTATAATGTTAATGATGGTTGTGTTTGAGGGAGTGTACGTGTACCCCAGACAGCAGGCCTGAAATGGCCTTTTCTATAAATGAGATGCTGTTTTTGTCATGTTGTGTAGGACACAGGATTTAGCTCAGCCTGAAATGACAGTGTTTAATGATTGGTGTAACTGAAGCCTTTTCTTAATCAGATACATTGTAAACGTGGAAATGTCCTTTCAGTTTTATGGAGCGCTTTCAGGAAAGCCGGAGTAGACTGTCCGACCCCTCCCATTCCCCCTGCACTTTGTAACAATAGAAGGAAACTCTGTTGGAAACAAATGGGACGTCTATGAGGTTTTTGCAGCGAGCCCCGCTTCTTTTCTTTCTGTTTTCCCCCAAACCCATCTGTGAATGTCAGGTGTGGCAGTCCTACTGGTTGTGGCGTGGTGAGATCCCCTTTGCTGGTTTTTAATAATTCACGCTGTCTGGGAATTTCCCTCCCTAATCAGCCCTAATTGGGAAAATATGCTTGGCAACAAGGGCCATCTGTAAAAATCTAAGAGACCTAATTATTCTCAGAGCTTGCTCCATTTTCTGACTTTAACCCACTGAGATGAGATGTCTAGGCTCACTCCGGTTCCCAACGTCTGCCGGCCACATAAAGAGGCTCGCCCCACACTCTGAACTCCTCCATACCTGCCAGTGCCGCTCTCAGGAAGGCACACGTGCAAGTTTTTGTACAGTTGCACAAGAAGAGACTGTAAGCCTAAAGGTATTGATTTAAAGGAATAAAGAAAGAGCGAGGCTCCAGAGAACAGGCCCTCAGCACTGAGTTTGAGACCGGGCCATAAGAATTCCCCCCAGTGCCTACTCACCCAGCGGAACTGGATTATGTAATAAACAGAAACACGCTAGCTCTCTCTTCAGGCTTTGACCCCATTTTAAGTTTATTTCCACAATTTCTTTGCACAGAGAAAACCCCGTCTTGTACACTTTGCTGTGCGCGCTGCTTGTGTTGATAATGGCAGCGTGAGTACATCTGAGCGTGGTTTCCTGTGTGACGAATTCCACATTTAAAGTGGTTGGCGCAGCTGAATGGCGTGCGTTAGGAAAGCAGGGGTAGGGGTATGTTGTCGGTCCGGTGACGGCCTTCCGGGAGTTCAAAAGCCCCACATCTGTGTTGTGACCTGTATTCTGGAGGATTTCCACACAGTTTATGGAAGTTTGAGTCCTCCTCATGCAGCACCAGCCGTGTTTCTTCCTGACCGGTCGGGGGAACTCCATACAGCGGCGTGGAGTTGCTTTATATTACAGCCGGCGTGATGAACGAGGCCGGGCTGGCTCTAAATTCCTGGAGGCAGAGGCATCCTCTTCTGTAGGGCGGTGCGAGCTGCTAACGAGGCCCTCCGTGCTGAAATTTACAGCCCTGCCCCTGCATTGGCTGCGTGTGTGCACGTGTAAGCATTTTCTGGCTGGCATATGGAAGTGTTTACTTCCTCTCTCTCAGCAGGAAGGGGGACACCCCTCCTGCCGCTGCCATTCCTCCACCTTTTTGTATTCTCCACCAGCGGTGGAGCCTGGCTACTTCCTGTCCCACAGCCCGCTGGACGAGAGGTCTCTGGCTTTCATTTCAGGGCGCCTGGTTTCTATATCTAAAATGCGCGCATGGCGAAGAGAGAATCACGGCGTCAACGCTACAGTGTACTTAAAGCATCCTGGTTACAGAGAGATTAAGCTGGCAGGAAAGACACTCTGTTACCAACTAAATAGACCATGAAATGCAGCCCCGCTAATGTAGCAGGAGGTACACAGGCACATGTGCTCAGCCCCCACCCACACACACTCACTCCTGTTTGCCGAAGATTCCTCTTTCTTTCCTAATTAGCTGGAGTGGAGGCTGTTATATTGAGTGTGAATAGAAATTGGTCACACTTGGCACTTGTCGTTACACACTCTGTCGGAGACAGAGAAAGGCCGGCTAATTTACAACAGGGAAGTCAGTGGGGGGGGGGGCGCATTTACTCTCTGAAGGTTCCCCATCTCTGCTCTCCTCTGATGTGTACAGTATAGGGATGTACAGTAATCTGGTAAATTCAATCACAAATGGAAAACTTTCTACTGGTTAAAAAGAAAAACCTCCACTGATTAGAGGCCATATTTGCTGGTTGAGATGTAAAAGTGGATGAAGTAGCGTGTTAGTTTCGGCAGCTTACTAAATGTATTATGAGATTGAAAAAAGCAGACTGAAGCGCTGAGGCCCGCTGAAAGCAGCATCATCTCCACTCAGCTGGGTGGAGATAACAAGGCCACGGCTGGATAACGCTGCTGGATGACGATGTGCGGCAAACCTGAATGACCCGCCTCACGACCTGTTTGTTTTCATCAAATATCCAGTTAAATATTAATTCCCAAAGACCCTATCCGGATGAATCACTTTATCTGTTTTTCGGCTCTTTCCCGTGACACTTTTCAGCCCTATTCCCCGTCCAGTTTCGGGGAATGTGTCAACACACCCATAGAGCGGTCATGTCTGGAGAATTTTCATTTGGGTTGTATAACTGTGCTGGGCTCTACAGGATTACATCACCCAGAGAAATGAAAGCTCCACCCTTACTGTGAGTCTGCTGTGCTTGTGTGTAGTGGATGGTTACCCACTCAACAGGTTGAATGACTTGAGTCCTCCCCACATGTGTACCTGCCCTCTCTGGTTTGCGTAACCCCCCCCCCCCCCTCTTGGTGCTACAGCTTGGCCTCCGGATGCCGAGCTGGTAAACGCGTTCATTAAAGGCCTATATGGATATTTGTTTTTCGCTGTTGCATTTATTCATCTCATTTCCTCTATCAGGGTGTTTTCCCTCTAAAACGGCGTATAGCTCTCTGATTAATATTCATGTTGAGATGAATGTCAGGATGTCTTCCCTCAGAGGGGCAGCCTCCTACCAAAACGCATTGCAGGTACGCACGCTTTCCTCACTATGCCAGGCCTCCATCTCCTCATATTCTCGATGTGTGGGATTTAATGCTGAACAGGCTGATGCGTCCGAGTCTTTCTGTCAGCTCTGCTGCTGTTAAATTCAGATGAGAAGTTGTTATGTCTCCCTTATGGATGACGAAAGGTTCTTTTGTCGATTTTTTGCCCCCCCTTTTCTTTTTCCCAACTTTAATTACTCTCTGCTTGAGGATGTATGCATACACATCCCATGAATGTGCCGCCATTGTTATGCTCATATAGACAAAATATGATTAAGAGGATTTGGACACAAATCTGTCTGTCGGCCGTGGCGAATTAACCACTAGAGCCAAAATCCTCACGTGGATACTGTAACGTATAGACACAACTATTGGTCTTACGAGGCGGGTGAGGTCAGCTTTTCTTTGTTTATTTTTCTACAAGCTGCTGAAATTTGAGCTGCTTCCTGCCGCAGGTACTTTTTACGAACACTTTGCATTTCAGAGTGCAGCTATCTGGGAAAGTCGGTGTTCATTAGGCGACTTTCTAATGAAGGGCTGTGAAATTGAGGCTGTATTTTGGTTTACGATCCTAATGGGTCACAACTACCAGCAGAGACCTGCATTAACTTTAAGCCCTCGTGGCACCAGAGGGCTTCGGTAACTTCATGATGGTGTTCTTTGTGTTCTGAGCTTTAGGGGTGGGGTCCCTGATCCAAGATTGTTTGTGGGAAAAACAGGATTGAGCCTAGTTGCTACGAGCTAAGTCACACTGTCTGGTTTTCTAGAGTAGGGCTTTCCTTGCATGACCAGATCACCTCTTGTTCCCGTATCCTTCCTGTTAACTGCATCTTCCCAGTGGTTTCA